GTCAGAGTGTTTACCTAACATGCAGGAGATCCTGGATTCAATCTCCCATGCCCCCGGAGAAAAAAACAAAACAAGATTTATGACTCCTACCCAGGAGCAGTGGTGCACATTTGTAAACCCAGCGATGTGGGAGGCTGAGGCAGGAGGAACATGAGTTCAAAGCCGGCCTCAGCAAAGGTGAGGCGCTAAGCAACTCAGTGAGACCCTGTCTCTTAACAAAATACTAAATAGGGCTGGGGATGTGGCTCAGTGGTTGAGTGCTCCTGAGTTCAATCCCTAGTAGCCCCCCCTATCAAAAATGAAAAGATTTGACTCCTATGAGAAACTCTAAATTATCTTTAAAAGGGATGCATATTACACTATAAAAAGAATATAATCAAGTACATAGTCATAGATTATTTTGAGGGGAAAACTTTTAGGACTTTTTCTTTCCTATATTTTTAAAATGCTAAGTTTAACAGTTATAGAAAGATATTTAAATATTATAAAACTTTCTTCTAAAAGGGATAGCTATTTCTAATTAACTCATTCAAAATTCCACACTTTGGTAACAATTTTCAATCTTACCACCTAACTTCTTAAAGTCACTAGTACCTCAATCTTTCTCAGTCAGGAGTTAACCTCTTCTCTTATTTTTTCTTTAGTACTGGGGCTTGAACTCAGGGGCACTCAACCACATCCCCAGCCCTATTTAGAGACAGGGTCTCACTGAGGTACTTAGGTGCTCACTTTTGCTGAGGCTGGCTTTGAACTGTCGGTCTTCCTGCCTCAGCCTCCCGAGCTGCTGGGATTACAGGCATGCACCACCGTGCCTGGCTAATCTCTTCTTTTTTAATACTTGCTTGGTGATTGCAGAAAACCCAATATAACATAAAAGTGACCATTTTTTAATCATTTTTAAATACAATTCAATGATGTTAAAGGCATTTGCAATGTTGTACAGCTATAATTACTGTCAATTTCCAGAACTTTCTTATAATCTCAACCAGAAACTCTGTACCCATTAACAGTAACTCCCTATACCAGTACCTGTTAACCTCTATTTTCTGACTCTGTAAATGTACCCATTCTAGATATATCATATAACTGACTCATACAATATTTGTACTTTTGGATAACTTATTTCACTTAGCTTGTTTTAAAGGTTCATCCACATGCGTGGATATATCAGAATTTCACTTCTTAAAAAAAAAAAAAATTCCATTTCCTCTTAAGGCCGAATAATATTCCATTGCATGTATATAGCACATTTTGTTTATCAATTCATCTGTTAATGGACATTTGGGTTGTTTTCACTTTAATATATTCTAAAATATAACAATAATCAGAATCAAAGAGATTCTTTAAAATGTGGGAGCAGAGGGAAAAATACAAAGTGAAAAGACATAAAAGATATACTGAGGTCTAAGGAATGAAAATAAAACAAGTAGCAGCACACTTTCAATAAGCATACTCTGTGTTTTATTCTATAATCTCTCTAAAAACTGTAAAGATTATAAGACTTGACACTTGATTGCAGCAAGAAAAGCTATTTACTACATTTGAATATAATCTTTTAACCATTGATATTTTTCATATACTCATTAACAAGTAAGTTTTCAATGCCTACTATGGCAATACACAAAAAGAAGAGATAATATCACTATCCTCACAGAACTACTTTAATGTATGGATGGATCTCTCTCTCTCTCTCTCTCTCTCTCTCTCTCTGGTGGTGATGCTGGGGATGGAACCCAGGACTTTGCACATGTTAGGTAAGCACTGTATCACTGAGCTATATCCCAAGCACTGACTTTTCTTTAAAATTACAAAAACTTACCATTTTAAACCTTAGTGCTATAAAGAACAAGAAATACTATAATAAACTAAAACAAGAATATGTGATCTAGACTACAAAGTCAGTCAAAATTCTTTAAAAATGAAAATTTCAAACTGATTGCCTAAAGAGTTAACCTCACAAATAAAGCTAAGTGGTCCTCATGTACAAAGGCTGAGATTGATGTAAATTCCCTACAAAATTGAAAATGACAAAACATAAAAGATATATAAAACTATGAGAATAGACAGAAATATACTTAACTTGGAGAGGAGGTTATCAGAAAAAAACAAACATTAAGGAAAAAAACTCCAAAGAGGAAAGAAAAGTAAAAAAGCTTGTGGTATCAATTAAAGTAACAAGTTTCAAGAAGGAAATAGTACTACAGTGTAATAATAATAATAATAATAATAATTCTGAGAAGTAAAAGAGGCAAGAACTTAAAATCCAATTGATTTTGTAAAAGTAAGTCACAGATGACCTTGAAAGAACTGCTTTATGGTCACAAAACTATCTAACCACATCATCAGAGTTTAACCAAGAAGAACTACTTGTAAACTGTTAACACGTGAAGCCAAAGACATTTCTAATTACTCCACAATTTTGATGCATACCAAAAATATAAGAAATTCCTTTTTCTCCTTTTCTATTTATTTATTACTATTCTTTACTTATTCACTAATCTTGACTCCCTCTGGAAATGATAATGGAAAGTTTAAAGTCCTAGAGCGTTACTACATTAGACTTGTATGACACTACAATGCAATTTCAGACCAAAGAGATTATTGGAGCTTGTTCTCTATATATCAGATTTCCTGGTGTATTTGCCTGGTATGTATCAAAATCTAAATTTATAAAAAGAAACAAAATCTCCTACCCATTCCCACTCTGTGCGATCCAACAGTGCTATTAAAGGATATTAGAATACCTTAACAAAATTTCTCAGTGACAAAAATACTATTATCTTCTCCTGTAGCTTAGTATTAATTGATCTATGATCAAATCTTTTTTTTAATATTTTATTTTTTAGTTGTAGATGGACACAATATCTTTATTTTATTTTTATGTGATGCTGAGGATTGAACCCAGGGCCTTACACATGCTAGGCAAGTGCTCTACCACTGAGCCACAACCCCAGCTCTGTGATCAAATCTTTTTCTGAATTAGCCCTAATCTAATAAATCTAATTCAAATAAAATTTAGAAATATTATGCTAATAAATTAAGAGTGATCATTTTTTTAACGGATTACAAAAGAGACTTTGAAAAGCTAATTTTTCAAATGCATTTTCATGTTTTAATTCATGCATGCTTATACTCAACGTTTTTAGGAACATGTTATATAAAGTAGGATATGATCATTCATATTTCCTCTTTTCATAACCATAAAGCAAACCTAATTTATTTACTGCCTACTGAAATTTGGCAATAAATTAAAACAACCAAAAAAATTAACTGCTTTAGAAGAGAAAAGCCAATTTTAAAAACTCAAGTAGAACTTCATGTTAAAGAAAAAAACAATGACAAGTAAAATCTAGTATATGAAATGGTTATTAATCAAGAAATATGCTGCTGGGTGCAATGTCACACACCTGTAACCCCAGCTACTTGGGAGGCTGAGGCAGGAGGATCACAAGTTCAAGGCCTGGCTGGGCAATTTATAAAGTCCCTGTTGCAAAATGAAAAAGGGCTGAGAATATAGTTCAGTGGTAGAGCACCACTGGGTTCAATCCCCAGTGCCCACCCCCCTCACCGCCCCAAAAAGGTGCTGTGGATTTAGTTTAGTGGCACAGAACTTGCCTAGCACGTGCAATGCCTGAGTTTGGTCTGGGTGTGGGGGCTGAGGGGCAACAAAAGAAAGCGGGGCGAAGAAAGAAATAAATTGTTGTCCATTTGCAAATATCTACCCATAGGCCACTGTTTCTCAATGGAAACACTACTGGCATCTGAAATGAATGACTACTCAATATGGACTGTGCAGTACCAAATATTTAGTATCCCTGTTATCTACCGTTTAAATATCACAGTGTAATCCCCTCACCAATCACTGTGATTATCAAAAAATAGGACTCCCAACATACTGTGTTACACTAATGGTGTTACACAATACCATCCATAGTTGAAAAACACTAGAAGTAGTTTCAAAGCACAGCAAACTTCCTACCATAATGAAAATCTTTCTAATAAAAGGGGTTGTGGCTCAGAGGTAGAGCGCTTGCCTAGCACACATGAAGCACTGGGTTCAATCCTCAGTACCACATAAAGTAAAATAAAGACATTCTGTCCACCTGTAACTAAAAAAATACATATTAAAGAAAAAAAAGACTGCCACATTTGTCTTACTAAGCAAAGCAAACAACATAATTTCAACATTTCTTAAGACAGAGGGTCTTGATTATGAACAGTAACTGTTATGTGCTATTGCAATATGTATCTAAGAAACTAAAAGTATATGTTATCTTTGATGCTATCTATGCCCCATCTATGTATTTAAACATAAAAAGATTTTTTAATTTTTGTTTTTGGACATAGGGTTGTTCCAAGCTGCCCAAGCTGGTCTCAAACTTGTGAGTTCAAATGATTCCTTTGCCTCAGCCTCCCAAGTAGCTAGGACTACAGACATGAGTCACCATACCAAGCTAAGAATTTTATCTGACACATCTAGTACATTATATTTTTTCTATTTATTTATTTATTTATGCATGCTGGGAATTAAACCCAAGGCCTTGAACATGCAAGGTAAGCATTCTACCCAATGAGCTATTTCCCCAGTCCCTATTTTATTCTTTTTGGCTAATGTTATTCCTTCCTAGAACGTCTACCTCTAGCATTCTCTCTTAAGTCACAGTAATTTTTATCTGCTAATGACCAAACATATTAAATGAAAAGTCTGAATTGATAGATGAAGGCTTAAAGATGGCTCCAGGCCTCCCTGAGAATTAAAGTGCATGGACTTGAAAACAGCTACCGTCTTTCTCATTAAGAATTTTTTTGATTTACTTTTTTGTTTTATAACTGTTATAATTTAAAAACTTCACAATGATCTGACAGCTGAATACAACAAGAAGTTAACAAAGCACTTAGTACTAACTAATCAACCTTGAGGACTAAAGTACACTACTATATACTATCAAATATTCCAATCAAGTATTATAATTGTTGCTAATAATATTTAAATAACTCACCTGATTTCTTTTAGTCCTTCTCTCTGGATAACTTGAAGAATTTCTTTATGACTCATAGGTGTATTGGGGTATTTTTCTAAGACCTGAGAAATAAGTATATAATAATAAATTATTACTTATTTTAACTTCCTATCCTTTTAATTACATATGTAATTGTATTTAATAATTGTCTTAATAGTTACATACAAAACATACACATCCAGAGAATTTTCAACCCAGATCTTCTTCCCTCAATCCCAAACAGACATATCCTGAAGCAGAAATAAATCGAAAAAGCTAAAATTAATAATTTGAATATTCACTATTGACTTGGAAGACTAAATAAGGAGGATCCCAAGTTTGAGGCCAGTGTCAGCAACTTAGTAAGACCCTGTCTCAAAAAAAATAAAATAAAAGGGCTGGAGAGGGGCTGGGGCTCAGTGAGAGAACACTAGCATAGCATATGTGAAGCACTGGGTTCGATTATCAGCACCACATATAAATAAATGAATAAAATAAAGGTTCAGCAACAACTAAAAAAAAAACATACATATGTAAATTTTTTAAAAAAGAATACAAATAATAATAATAATAATTAATTAATAATAATAAATGCTGACGAGGATGTGGGGAAAAGGGTATAATTATAAATTTGTCAGTGAGAGGCCAGGCATAGTGACGTATATCTGTAATCCCAACAAGTGGGGAGTCTGAGGCAGAAAGATCACTCAAAAGTTCAAGGCCAGACTCAACAACTTATGAGGCCCTATGCAACTTAGCAAGATCCTGTCTCAAAATTAAAAATAAAAAGGATTGGGGATGTATCTGAGTGGTCAGGCACCATGAGGTTCAATCCCCAGTACCAAAAAATAAATTGCTGGTGGGATTGCAAATTAGTATGACCATTTTGAAAAGCTATATTCCATAGAAGACTAGAAATGGAACCACCATATGACACAGCTACTTTCACTTTTTAATATTTATCCAAAAGAACAAAAATCAACATATTATACTGATACAAGAACATCAGTGTATATAGCAGTGCAATTCACAATAGTGCAATTCACAAATTATGGAACCTGTCCAGGTGTCCATCAACAAATGAATGAATAAAGAAAATGTGGTAAGGATATACAATGGAGTTTTACTAAGTCATAAAAAAGAATGAAGTTATGGTATTTGCTGGTATAAATAGATGGAAATGGAGAACATCATGCTAAGTGAAATTAAGTCAGACTGAAAGTCAAAGACGGAACATTTTCTCTCACATGCGGAAGGAAGCAAGAGCAAAATAAGGAAAAGTGGGTGGGGTGCCCCATGAAAACAGAAGGCAAACCAGTGGAGTAGAGAAAAAGGGTTAAGGAGGAAGGAAAAGGAATGGGAAAGAAGAGGAACTATGGAATGAAATTGACCAAATTATGCTATGTACATACATACGTACAGGAATATACCACAGTGATTTTCACGTTCATGTGTGTATCTATAAAGCACTAATTGGGGGGAAAAAAAAGAGCTAAATCAAAAGAAGGAAGACCAGTAGAGAAAAGGGAATCAAGGAGGAAAGAGGGAAAGGAAAAAGAAAATATTGGGAACTAAAGTAGAACAAATTACATTTCATGCATGTATGACTACATCAAAATGAACCCCAATATTATGTATAATTATGATGTATTAAAAAGATTTTTAAAAATAAGATAAAAATTAAAAACCCAGTTTTCTAGCCAGATTACAAGAAAGGGTTTCTAGGAGGAGTTTCTAGTAGCTGTGTTATATGGTGGTTCCATTTCTAATCTTCTGTGGAATCTCTACACAGTTTTTCCAAAAGTGTCAGAGACCGGGCACAGTGGCGCATGCATGTAATCTCAACATTTTGGGAGGCTGAGGCAGGAAGATTGAGAGTTCAAAACCAGACTCAGCAATTTAGGGAGGCCCTAAGCAACTCAGCAAGACCTTGTCTATAAATAAAATATTTTTGAAAAGGCTGGGGATCTGGTTCAGTGCTTAAGCGTCCCTGGGTTCAATTCCTGGTACTCTCCCCTGCTCAAAAAACAAAACAAAACAAAAAGTATCAGGGACCTCGAAGAGAAAAGAGAGCTCAAAAAAGTGATACCATACAGTTGTTGTTCTTCTTCTCTCCCCTCCCCAAATCCCCCAGGGTACTTTACCAATGAGCTACATTCTCAGCACTTTTTTATTTTACTTTGAGGCAGGGTCTCACCAAATTGCCCTGGCTGGCTTCCAGCCCTTGTAATCCTCTGCCTCAGTCTCTTTAAGTAACTAGGATTACAGGTGTGTGCCACTGCATCCAGCTTATCATGAAGTTCTACTTTACTCCTGGGGTCACCCAGTGCTATACATCTGTGGATTTGACCCTAACCAACATTACTATCAAGTATACCAATACCAAACACATAAAGTAGCCACAAGGTGACACAAATGCAGGGCAGATCCAAGTAACCATGCAAAGGATCTGAAAACTAGACATTGGAATTATAGTGCACAGAAGATGAACAGAAACTTGTGACTTGAACCTAATAAGGTCAAATCCTGCTTTAAAAAACCCTACAGAGTCTACATTTTCCATAGGATATTTTTGGGGGAGTGAGGGGGGATCAGGGGTTACCAGGGATTGAACCCCGGGGCAGTAAGTTATATCAGCAATCCTTTTATTTTTCATTTTGAGACAGGGTCATGCTAAATCACAAGCTGGCCTCAAATTTATGATCCTCCCAAGTTGCTGGTATTACAGGTACACACCACCACAATCAGCTTTCCCTAGAATTTAAACAAGAGTACAAAGAGTATCATAACACAGCATCAAAATGTCTAATATAAAATCCAAAGTCTCTAAACACATAGATTAGGAAAAGATCAATAACTGACCAAAAAAAATGACAAGCAACAAACCAAAAACAAGGAAATGTTGCTAAAAGCAGCTAGTACAACTTTACTTCAAGAAGTCAGGGTAACCAGGAGTGGCCAGTGCCTTTAGTCCCAGTTTGAGAGGCTGAGGAAGGAGGAGATCACTATAACTCAGGAATCTGAGGCAAGGAACCCTCTCTCAAAAATAAAACAAGCAAAAGACTCAAGAGTGAATATTCTTGAGACAAATTAACATGTTTTATTTATTTGCACTTATATATAACATTTTAGAATGAAAAACTATAATAATCAAAACTTAAAAACTAAAAGTTTCTTAGGAGGACTAAATAGCAGAATGAAGATGAGAGGAAAGAGTGATGAAGGGGGGGATAAATGAACAGTCAATGGGTCAAAATCAAAAGCTCTGACATTCATGTTATCAAAGTAACAAAGGGAAAAGACAGAGTGTAATACAGAAAACAAATTGGAGGGAATGACAGCAGTAAACTTCAGAAGATCAGCAAATGCCACACAAGACAAATACCCAGATACACCACAAACTACTGAAAACTTTAAAAAAAAAAAAAAAATCTGTAAAGCCATCAGGGAAAAATAACTCATTCCCAATTAGGAGAATGATGATTCAAATGACTATGGGTTTTTCATCAGAAATCATGAAGGGAAGCAGCAGGAATATTTTTAAAAAATATATTTTAGTTGTCAATGGATCTTTATTTTATTTACTCATATGCGGTGCTGAGAGTTGAACTCAGTACTTCACACATACTAGGCAAGCAAATCTACCACTGAGCCACAAACCCAGCCCAATGGAGGAATATTTTAAAGTGCAAGAAGGGACTGGGGCTGTGGCTCAATGGTACAGTACTTGCCTAGCGTGTGTGAGGCACTGGGATCGATCCTCAGCACCACATAAAAATAAACAAATAAAATAAAGGCATTCCGTCCATCTAAAACTAAAAAAAACCCTTTTTTTAAAAAAGTGCAGGAAGAAAAAAACTACCGACCCAAAGTGCTATATCTAGCAAAAATATCCTTTAAGAATAAAGGAAAGGGCTGGGATTGTGGCTCATTGGTAGAACACTTGCCTCACACATGTGAGGTACTGGGTTCGATCTTCAGCACCACATAAAAAATAAATAAAGATATGTGTTCATCTACAACTAAAAAAAATATTTACAAAAAATAAAATAAAGGAGAGAGCTGGGGATATAGCTCAGTTGGTACAGTGCTTGCCTCACATACACGAGGCACTGGGTTCAATCTCCAGCATCACAAAAAAAAAAAAAAAAAAAAGACAGAGACAGACAGACAGACACAGAGAGAGAGAGAAATCAGGATGTTCTAAGATGAAGGAAATTACCAAAACACTTGCACTAAATTGACATTTTCTGCTAGGCATCCTGGCACACAATTATAATCCCAGCTATTTAAGAGGTTGAGGCATGAGGATCTCAAATTTGAGGTAAATCTGGGAAAATTAGTGAGACTCTGACTCAAAATTAACATTTTAAAAAGAGGTCAGATACAGCTCAGTGGTAGAGCACACACCTGGGTTCAATCCCCAGTACTACCAAAAACTGACATCTTTTTAAGTCAATTCTGGTATAAATGTTCTTCCTATGTGTTTCTCTTTAAAAGAGGAACTTCTTGAGATGGATACTGGTTGTTCTCATCATCTTTCTCTTCTAACAGATTAATGTAAGGTCATAAATTCCTTTTATTCACAGCTTTTGCTATATCCCACAAGTATTAAAATTAGTATTTTTGTTATCAGCTCAAATGGCTTTCTAAATGGAATCATAATTTCTTCCTTCACTTGTGTGCTAGTTGAAAATGTATTGCTTAATTTCCCAAATTGGAATTTTCTGTCTTATCTTTTTTTTCCTAATTATCAAAGAATTCAGAACACTAACCCCAATTACTGCCCTGACCTCACCTTACATGACATTTTTGTTGCTGCTGTAAATAGTAGGCACTTAGACTTATGTACTTATTTGCATCTTCTAAGAATTTGCATCTGTTCAGCACCGCTTCAAGCTTCCATCTGAAATTATTTTTCTTCCAAAATAACTCAGTTTAATTTAACATTCCTTCAGTGTAAATTGCTAGTAACAAAGCGGGGCATCCCTTATTCCCCAACCAATCTTCTGCTTTTCTGTTACTCTTTGCTTTAGTTTTTACCACTTTTATTATCATGTGCCAAGAAGTAATTTTCTGCTAG